TGCTAGAAGATCTATTGTGTTTCCAAATGACCAATTCATGTACTTGCTGATCATTAGCTTGTCCTTTACCCATACTTTACTGTAGCACTGACAACTTTCTTGTAGGAGCAGCACTCAAATCCCACTGCAAGTCTCTGATGCCATCCATTTTGAAATGTGTGTACAACTCCTGGAATTTTCCATTTCTTTTATTACATTATTTTATTATTTTATAGCATTGAATGACTGAACTTCAGGGTTAGATGTTGTATTAATGCATGGGGTTTTTACATCGTACCCTTGTTTGATTTCACTTATCTAATAACTGAACACTAATTTACATTCATACATGACATAACACTTAACCTCTGATTCTGCAACTTAAATCTGCTTTGATTATTCTTTTGAGAGAATAAATATAGCAAATGAAAATCATTGACATTAGTATTATAGTTTATTCTTGTTCATTTTTGCATTTTTATGTATTTTTTTTCTTTTAATTTTGGGATATGCTTCTTGAGGCTTTTTGGGATATTCATCAAGATATGGCCAATTGTATAAATAAATAATAAAATATATCAATGAGGATTGTTGGTAATAGAACACATGTCACTAGCTATGTAACATATGTTGTGTGTGTTGCTTAGCCCTGGCATATTTAGAATTTAATATTTATAGCTTTTAATAGTAATATTTATAATATTTAGAATTTAGAATGCTATTACAAAATAATAGTGGTAAAGTAGCCTGATTTAATCTGGCAGTCATTTAGCATATTACTAAAATATCAAACTTTGGGATGTTTATATATGTATATGTTATGGACTAAGTGATTAATATGGGCATTATGAATAATGATAAACAAAATTGGGCACTGTAATAAATTTCAGGTGTTTTTAACATAATTTATCAGATTGATCGGACATTATGAATACTGCTATTACTTAGTCGGACAAAGTGATGATAATATGTTAAGGAGTGATCATCCAACGTACCCTAGCCAATCAGCACTCGCATCTCAGTTGCACATGCATATTGCATTTAGTATCAAATTTTAAATTTATGTATGATCTTGTGCAATAATTTAATTTTACTTTTGTCTCTTAAAATAGTGTTTTCTTCTTTGAAAACAGTAATGATTATGGAGCAGTCATTAAGTGATATGAATAATCGCTTCAACAACCAATTAAACAAGTTAATAGCAGGAAAAGATCAGAACAGTCAAATTTTTACAAAATCAGCATATTTGTCAATGATACAAAAAGTGAAAAAGTCAAAAATGAAAGTTATTTCTAAGTTACCAGAAGAATATCAGCATTTACATAGATATGACATTGTATCTATTGGAGATATAGAAAAATTAATTGTGCCTGTAAAAGAAGATTATGTGATTAAATATTATGTTTAGTGAAGAAATATTTCAGATATTGCATGATACCCATATTGCTATTGGCCATGGCAGTAGAAACTGTATGGAAAAAGAAATAAGTATGAAATATAAAACTATTACATGGAAGATGATCATAATTTATTTAAACTTATGTGAAATCTGTCAGAAAAAACAGAATGTTCCTAAGAAAGACTTGGTAGTTAAACCAATTTTATGTAATGAGATGAACTCTAGATGTCAGGTCAATCTTATAGATAAGCAGTCGCAAGTCGATGAGCAATATAAAGTTATATTTGTGTATGAAGACCATCTGACTAAATTCATTCAACTACAATTGTTAAAAACCAAAAGGGCTGAAGATGTAACATATGTTCTTCTAGACATTTTTACAATTTTCAGTGCACCAAGTATTTTTCAAAGCGATAATTCACCAATAATGTCATCAAAGAAATGTGTCCTGAGTTAAAAATGGTGCATGGAAAGGCACTCACAAAGTCAGGGCTCACCTCTACCATTTCTGGACATCTAGTTCCAATGGGTGACCACCCAATGGTCATCTTAAATGGTAGGTGGACCGGACACATAACTGTGCAACTTGTTGGACTGGTGGCAAATCCCTAAACTTTAGACATCAGTAGAAAGGTGTAATCAAGATATAGAAAATATGCTTAGTTCTTGGTTGGAGACTAACAATACTAAAAAATGGTCGGAAGGATTACATTTTGTACAACTGGTGAAAAATTGAGCACATCATACTGGTATAAACTGCAGTCCTTATGAGGTCATGTTTGGAGCAAAGTTGGACTAAAGAATTTTATACCTAACGAGCTGTTGACTAATGTTAATACGGATGAGGATCTAGAGACTCTTTTTAAAACTATCGACAAAGTAAGTCAAAGTTGCTCTAACTGAAAGATCAGGTACAGTCCAAAAAAACATTATAAAAGATTATTTGATAATGCTATATTATCAAATAATAGTTATATTGCTATGTGAGAGTGGCATTGAAGTTCAAAGATCTACATTGTCTTCACATGAAAAAAAATCTAACCATGCTTATTTACAAAAACTAGGATGTTATTAGTATTACAGAGTTGGTGAATGACGAAGAAAAAATCCAAACAGTTGATCCAAAAATAGAAGAAAAAATAAGAAGTGTGTCTTAAACAAGGGAAATGGCTTTGTCTAATCTTAAAAAGCAAGCAGAAAAAATGATTGATACATTAAATTCCAAATACCAACAGCTAATGTTGGTGAGACAATAAGAATTTGTGTACCAGATGTAGATCGAGCCCACAGTGATGGAAAAAATATTTTAGGTGTTGTTGTGGTTGAAGATAAAAACCTTTACAAACTGGGTACCAAACAGCATATTAAATCTATTATATTCCAGAAACCAATTTACTGTTTGTAAAGAAAACTTCATTTCTGTTGGAGATATACCAGATGCAGAAATTTCTGTTAGAGAATGTGCAAGAATGTCATCAATTTCTGGAAGCCAAGGCTATAGTCAATGCTGCTACAAAATTGGTTGCAAATCTTATAGATGCAAATGCTACAAAGAAAAAAATTATGTAATTTCAAATGTCATCAAAATTTTAATTGCTTGAATAAATAAACTAAAGTACATTTAATTTTTTTATATAATTTATGCCAAAAATGAAATTTCAGAAGTTTCTTGTAAGTTGATTTTTTTAATTGAAGTATAATTTTTTTAACAATATTTACTTTTAAAACATCATATGTTGTTTTTAAAATACTTTGAAATAATTCACAAAAAATAAATAATTCTTAATGAAAAAAGTACAGTTTTTTTAATCAAATTGCCCAAAGAGAATATAGCTGTATTCATAATGTCTGAAAGGGGAGATTGGGTCAGAGGTATGGTTAATTGGCAATGCATCTGCATGGTAAGCAGGAGTTGCAAGTTCAAGTCCTGCTCCAGGCCAATTCTTTTCTTCCAGAATATTCTAAATTATTTATTAAAAATTAATTTAATCATAATTATTAAATTTAATAAGAGATGGCACCTAACACCTACCTCTAATACCAAATTATTTAGAATTTAATTAAAAAATAATAGCAATAAAGTAGTTTGATTTTAATCTTGTAGTCATTTGGCATAATACAGTACATGTTGTAAAATATGGCACAAATTATTTATTTTTCTACACCATATTCTATATGGAAAAAAAGATTTTTATAATGAGTAGAAATTTATTTTTAAAAACTTTCTTTCATATCATAAGTAAAAATTCAGTTTTTACAACTGTTTTTTAATTGAGTAAATGAATTTTACTGATAACTTTAAAGTATTGAAATTTTTATGTAGATTACAATGATTAATAAAATGTTAGTTAGTTAAATAAAGCTTAAACTTTATAAAAAAATGTTTAAATAATTTTATTTTGAAATATATTGAAATGTCTCTCCCCATATGAAATGACCAGAAATCCTATTAGTAAACTTAATGGTGCAATAGAGAAAAACATGTGTAAAACCAGAATTGTATCAAATTTTTTTTCTATTTTGGCAGGTTTCTGTTTTGAACAGATTTTATTTTATTTTTTCTTCCTTTTTTTCAGACAGTTGTTTGTTTTTTTATAGTAAAATCACTTGCTACATTAAAAAATTTTTTATTGATAGGTTTAATTTAATCTATACAAAGTGATTGCATTATGCGATATAGCAGAAAAGAAAAAGCCATCTTAGCACTCGTATATTTGAAAGTGATTGCAGTTGAAGATGGGATCATTCAAAAGCAAGAATTCAGAATTGTTTGATTCTAAAAAGTTCTCATTTCTGAGAACCTATGCTAGGCATTTGAATACTTCAGATATGATCCTTATGAGCACATACAAGTGCAAACAAGCCAGTTTGAGTACAAAGAAGCTGTCAGAAATTCTAATTGCATTACAGTAAAACCAATATCATGTTGTTCTGTGATCTAACTTCCCAGGGAATTTTAATACTTTAATTGTTAACTTCAATCTCTGTAATTACCAATGGTGTTAACCCTTTATTACATGATCTTTATTTCTCTGAAAAGATTCAAAATTGTTCAGGGAATCTAGTTTGTCATGCTCTGAAGTGACCATTATACCTAGAGATGATTTCATTTATTTGTCTAAAAGTAGAATTTTAATTTTCCACTATACTTGATCTTCCACTACCTTTTTCTACTTTTTCTCTTCCATTTCTGAATTAGACAAGTTTCTGGCTTGTAGTAAAATTTAACATAGAAGTGGCTGTGTTCTAAAGTTTGTTTTTTCTTTATTAGGCAAGTCTCCATTTTAGACAGGTTTTATGGTATAACAAAAAATATTTCAAGTTATTAATATTTATGTCATTACTAAGTAAGAATGGTTTTATTTTTAAGTTACATTTTATCAACTTATTTTTACTGATCAGTGATATAATTTTAACCAATAGTAATGATATTCTATTATTTTGATTAAATACTTTAACAGTAATTAATTGTATTAATATATAAAATTATTATAGGAATTTATAGTTTACATTTTATGACAATTATTACAAAAAATTTTTATTGTACTATAACATCCAGTTATACATTAGACATGTACTTGAATAATTATAATTATATATATATAATTTTTTTTAATTGCAGAAAAATGCACCTGTTATCAAAGTTCTTCATTTGTCAGATACTCATTTTGATCAATACTATATGGAAGGATCCAATGCTGAATGTAATGAACCTCTTTGTTGTAGAACTGCAGATAATCAAACTATAAATCCTGATAAAAAAGCTGGAAAATGGGGAGATTATAGAAATTGTGATACTCCTCTTCGGACTTTAGAAAATATGCTAAAACACATTGTTGAAAATCACAAGGTTAGTGTTTTTGAGCATTGAAAAAAAGCAGAAATTGAGCCCCCTAGTATAAAATAGATTTTTATTTTATACTAAGGGCTCAACCTTTGCTTTTTTCAATGCTTCTTAATGCTCCTCCATATTACATTTCATAAAATCATAATTTATAAAATCATAAAAGAATTACATTTTTTATGGCCAGCTAAATAGATATTTTTTCTTTTTGTAATACTACCATATTAAGTAGATATCCACTAGGATTCCCCTTTCCTTAGCCATTTTCTAATAAGTTGTGGTTCCAGCAATAAATTAAAAATCTTGATGCAGTTTTACCAATACATATATTTATTACTCCATTTAAATATATGTATTGGTAAAACAGTATATAGAGATTTAATTTGTCACTGGAACCACAGCTGGACTTACTAGAAAACAGTTATAGAAAGATGAACCCTAGTTGATACCTATTTAATGATAGTATTACGAAAAAAATACATTTGTTTTATCTTATTTACAGTTATTTAATCAATATATAATTTAAAAGTTTATTTTTTTTAATCAAAGATAAGACAAAAGAAAATGTAATAATGCGTTACTTGAATAAAAGATTACTTAGCAGTTTTATGATTTTTGTCTACAAGACTTTCCCGTTGATATTATCTGCCACTGTCAGTTGTAAGTCTTGTAAGGAAAAGATTTTGAAGAGTTATTTTTATCCTTAATTTTTTATTATGACTTATTAAACACTTTGAGTTAGAAATGATTATAAAAATTTTCTGTGGATTGCATGTTAAGATTAATAAATAAAGAAAGTAAATATAATTTCTACAATATGGTTTCTTAATTTTTTACATATTTCAAATTTCTCTTGCCTTAAAACACAAGTATTTTTATATATAAAATAAACATTATGTAATATATCAAATATTAATGTTTTTACTTTATATAGTTCTATTGATATTGTTTTTAAAAAAATGTCCTTATTAATTATTAATATATTAAGATTTGGATTCTAATGGTTTAATTACATCATTAATTGAAAATACATTTGTTTTTAAGATAGTAAAAATTCTTAAAATATTTTATTTTTGATGTAGATTGATTATGTAATTTGGACTGGAGATATTCCTGCTCATGATGTTTGGAATCAAACACGAGCAGAACAACTTTATCTTTTACAATCTGTTTCTAAAATAATGATGAAATATATGAAAAATATACCTGTTTATCCTGCCTTAGGAAATCACGAAAGTTTTCCAGTTAATAGGTAGGTTTCAAATTATATAATTCAGTTATGTTTTGTTTTTAAATTAAATATACATTTTATAAAATAATAATGCTGATTATTTTAGATAACTTTTTCCATAAAATTCTTTTTTTTTTTATTTTTATAAAATATAGTAAAATATCAGTAGTGTTTTTATTTTTAATAAATAATTTATCTCAAGCTTATAATTTTAAATATTATAGCTTCTAAAAGAAATTTACACTTCAGTTATTGCAGTTTTGTTTTTAAAAAAATCATTTTTTTAATCACAAATTAAAACTAGAAACAAGTCATACAACCAAATGATCATTTTTAGTTCTATGTAAGATGGAATTTATATTTATAGCCAGTTTTTTATGAATTATTTTGTCTCGTTAAATATTATTTTAGTGTGACTTCAAATTTTATTTGTCAAGATAAAAAATTTTCTTATGTAAGATTGATTGTGGTAATGATATTAAAAAATTTTTGTCATTAAATAATAATAATCTAAAATTGCTATCATAATTAAATATTAATTTTTTTCTTATAGATGTAATACCATATACTATTATATAAATTTTGAAAATAATACTAATTGAAGCTATTGTAAAGAGAGCTATTGAGATTATAATTACTTTAATGATCTGTATGAATTTTTATTCTAGTGCATAAATGTCTGTAAGAAGTTCTGGATAATGAAAAATAGTTCTCATCTAAAAGTATGACATGTTTTCACTGTTCTGTTTTCATGTTGTGATGCTTTCTTGCCAAGCCAATTTTTCATTCTTCTTTTTTTTTTTTTTTTTATTTGTTAGTAATACTTTCTTCTTGACCTTACATGCAAAAATTCCTGCTTCAGAACTTCTTACAGACAATACATGGACATTCAACCACTCCTGTTATTGTGTTATATTCTATCATCAATTCCTGAAACATAGCAAATTGATGTTTTTTGGCCCAATCAACAAAGAATTTTGTAATTTTTTTGGCAAGGATGTGTGGCTGCCCACTATAGGGTAACTTATGTGTTTCCAAACATTTTAATCTTGTGGTTGTGACTAATAGTGGACTAAGAACAGTCTTTGAACAATTTGAGTTATATTTAAACCTTCCTTTTGTAATTGTTTTATATATATATGATGTTGCAATGCCCTTTTGTTCAACATTTCATAACTGTTACTTAACTTATTGTATTTATTAATACTAGATTTTGCAAAAAATGCACATTTTGCAGTAAGCATGCAGTACTTCAGAGCAGTGTTTCTCTCAACCTTTTTTGACCTGGGAAATTTTAAAATAAACATTAAAAATTCCATCACTTTTTTAAATATTACAAAATGGTTTTTTAATTAAAATAATTATATTTCTTAATGACTATATAAATATGTACTTCTGTGTTTATTTTTAAAAATAAAGCATGTAATAAATTGACATTTACTTTATTCACCTTATTCTCTGGCCACATCAGTGTTGCCAGACGTATGACAACTAAAATCAGATGTAATTACAAAGTTTTGGAAGATTTTGCATAAATTCAGCAGATTTGAATCAATTGAAATGCAAACCCTTAACTATCTCAACACAAAGAAAAATGGACTTGCATTACTTTCATAATAAGTAGTCCATATCTGAGTTACCAAATGTGTGATTTTGCCTTACCAATGACATTAATGTGTTAAATCATGTAACTTTCAACCTTCAAATTCAAAATGCATGTACATACGGTATTACTACATATAATTGTTATTTTTCTTAAAAAGCTTAGCACCATGCTCAATTTTACACCAATTTCAGAGGCAAACAAATGGTGGCACTGAAGTGAAGTTTTACAATATATATGATTTATACATCTACATGCAATAGATTTACATTTTAATAATAAATGTCATTTAAAGAAAAACTGAATAACATTTATTGTGAGTACAAATGCAAGATTCAACCATTTAAGAAACAAATGTATGTATATTGTCTAATAACAAATAAAACATTTTAGGTTTAAAATTTCCTTATCAAATTTTTTCTGTGACATTCCATGCTCAGAAATAAAATTTTTTATTATGGCAACAGTTTTCTGCAGTACTCATATTCTCAATGTACCCAATTCCCTTTTGTTTGCTATGGGGTTGTTTTCCTGCAAAGCCTTTTACGCAGTTTCTCCAACTTTCTATCCCTATTTCATTCTTCTCAAGGATCCAGAAGTTGGTGCATTAATTCTATGCTTCCTATCTAGACCCTTTTATTGAAGGAGTTAGATCTATGTTTTTACCTCTTGGCAAAATAGACATTGTCAGCTGATTCAAGAATTTGTATTTCTAACTGTATATTTATTTATATAAAATATTTGCAGAATATATAAAAACTATTCTCAATGTTGTTCAATGCATAGACACTACATGATTACTCACTCTGGAGATCTGGAGAGTTCCTTGACTAAGTCATCTCATCATTTTTTTTTCTTTTTTTTTTTTTTTTTCTTTCATGGTCTCTATTTAAGTTAGATGTTCTGACTAACCAAAAGGTTGCGATCCCACCACATAATGGAAAAGTTTTGTTGTTGTTTTGTGTCATGTGGATACTAAAGACAGAGTATTGATAGACCAATTCATTCCTATATGTAAATGGTTTAGAGATGTTTGAATGTGTGTCAGCCTTCTAAAAGCTCTCAGTTGCTTGTCTAAATTTGATCTCTTAGGCCTAGCTTGTCACATATCAATAGTAATTAATTGCATCCAACTCTGACAACAGTATTTTCCTGAAAGTGGAAAAGGCAAACTGATAACTGTTGTAAAGTTATCAGTCCAACAACATAATTGTTGATTTCTGATGGAGATATTGCATTCCATGAAATATCTCTATCAGAAATCAACTGCAGCACATGTCCTTGAGATTTGGGTTTTTATTGACATGGTCTTCTGATCATTTGTTCCAATTGGTCTCAGACCCATCTTTGCTTTCTGATTGGTATTGCACTTTTTTCCATGTAAGACCAAGTTAGATTTCAGAATCTTTCCTAGAAAGTTCTCTATCCTGATGCCAATTTCTGATTCCAACAGAAAATGGAAAATGGAAAAGTGTAATCAAAATTGATCAAACAGATTTTGAAAACAAATGCAGTTTTGTAAGCAACATAGAAGAGGCTTTGCTAATGCTCTGCCTCAATTAAAATTTCTAATACCCTTCATTTTATTAATATATTATTTTAAATAATTACTAAATATTATTTTATATATAATAAATTATATTAAAAACATTAAAATTACAATGATTTTTTTGTAGCTTTCCAATTCCTCAAATAGAGGGAAAAGATTCAATTTCTTGGCTCTATGATGAAATTGTTACTGTTTGGAAACCATGGTTACCATCAACTGTTTCTTCCACATTAGGAAAGTGAGTGAATAAAAATTATTTAACATGAATGGCTAAGAATATTTATTAAACTTTTTAACAATGTAAAATTTCAGTTTAAATGTCTACACATTACATACAAATGTCTTTACATGAAGAAAATCATGTTGAATGAGATGGTTGTTTAAATTTTTTTCTACAACATTGGAAATAAATATTGAATTATTAGGATTATTTATTTTTGTCTATATTTAAATTATTTCAGACATTATTATAGACTATTTAAAGTTTATAATTGTTTATAACTTTCAGGAATGATTTAAATTTGTATTTCTGTGAAACTTTCTTTTTATATATGGAATTTGCATTTTTCAATATTTATTTATATTTAATGAATATTTGTTATTTGTTTTATATATATATTTGTTTATTTTATATATATTTGTTTACTTTAATACATAAATAGTCTCTAATAAATAAAGATTCTCTAAATAAATAAATCAAAGTTATTGATTTAGAGACTTTCATATTTTAAAGACTTGTTTCACAATCACAGAAAATATAAATTTTTTTTTTTTTTTTTTTTACATTCAATGTACTGAAATGAGCCCTGAATGTAAAGAAATTAATTTACAGGATTGTTTGAAATTGTTCAGTTTTATACCATACTTAAGTAATTTGTTTAGACTATATTCAAAAAAATTAAATTAAATTCAGTTAAAATTTTTAACTTTAATCTTAAATTTATAGAATATATTAATATCTGTAAAGTTTAATTGACTATAATTAGTCAAATTGATATAAGGTCATGATGATATTAATTTATTGGAAGATAAAAAAAGTATTTTTGAATTATGCATTTTTTTTAATATATATTTATAATATTTTACATATATATATTTTTTGATATTTTTAAAATTTTAATTAAACATTTAAAATATCAACAAAAAAGAGAGTATTTATAGTCAAAATTTATATTATTTTATTATATATATATAGTATATATGCATTAATGTGTTAGTTAAATATTACATTTTGTTTTAACATTATTATTTTGCTTACCTTAAATTTATGCTACCTTTATATGGAAATAATTAAATAGTAATTTAAAACCTCATAATGATGATGTAATACTTTAAACAGTATTATAAGAAAAAAATTTAATTATATACTGTTGCCAAATAATTCAATTACTGTTGTAATTATTTAGCAACCATTTAGTTTTATTAAAGCTAATTTCTCATATTATTTATAATTAATTCAAAGAGTTTAATGAAACTTTTATCAGAGAATAATATGAAATGAAAAAACTGCAAAACAAAAGTTAAGAAATAAACTGGAACTTTTAACACTTATATGCACATAATACTTACTTGCTTATTCCAGCAACATTTATTTTGAATTACAAAAGTTTTTGGCCACATTTAGAGGCCTTCTTCAAGTAAACAAGCTTTTTCATTTATTGTACATTTGAAAAACAGAGAAATATTGGTTAGGTGATGTGAAGGTTTTCTAATTTTCAAAGCACAGGAAAGCACATCATATGTTAGTGTATTATTATTTATTTTACTATTTTTTATTTGTATTATTTTTATATTTGTCCTTATTTTAGTATTTTACCATATTATTTTTAATATTTAGTCTTATTTTAATATTAATCTCCAACTTTATTTTACAATTTTTTGAATTAATTCATGTTGGTTAATTTAGAATGTAAATTTTAAAAGCATTTCTCTTTATTATTATGTTATAGGAATAATAAAAAGAGAAATGTTTTTTAAACATTGTTATTAAACAAACAAAACTTATTTCTGTTGTATATATATTAATTTGTTAATTGTATGTAGTAAAAAATACAGGATAAAAGGGATGTATAAATATACTATTCTAAATTTAAATTAGGCCTATATGAAAAATATAAATTTAACTTCAATAATTGTTAAATTCATGTGACATATTTTCTAATTTTATGTGATAGTGCAAACTATATACAGGGTAATTCTAAATGATCTTGATTTCAGTGGCTGATTATGCCAGTTTAATCAAATGCAAGCAAATACGATTTTACACATACAAAAAATTTTACTTTTTGTGTATGTAAAATTGTATTTGCCTGCATTTGTGTAAAAAAATTAAAGTTTTTTATTATGAATGTTCAATGTGCGATCTTTCCATAACATGACACACATGAAGCCTATAATCAAGTTCCTGCAAATTCTGTCTAGGATGTTGGCATCAATTTCTGTGATGGCTGAAGAGTATGGTTTCACAGAAAAGTTAGTGTTTAGTGATGAAACAACAATCCACATTTATGGAGAAGTGAATAGACATAATGTACGGATTTGAGGATTACTGAAAATCTTCATTCAGTTTTGCAATACAAATGCTTTTTCTGTCAAAATTAACATCATCTGTGCTATTTTCCATCAAAAACCTTTTTTTTATCATGAGGGCACTGTGACAGGTACTAGGTATCTGGACGTGCTGGCAATGGCTATTCCTGCAGCTTGAGGAAGACAGTGCTTGCTTCATCTTTGACAGAGTTTGGCAGGAACTTGATTATAGGCTTGATTTGTGTCATGGTATGCATGGATCAGACATTGAACATTTGTAGTAGGTAAGAAAAAACTTGCTCAGTTTTCCTTTGAGTGTGTAAATTGGGTTTACCTGCATTTTGATTAAACTGAAATAATCAGTCACTGAAATAGGGAACATCATTTAGAATTATCTTGTATTATAAGGGATGGAATGTGAACTTATTTTTATTTTTTCATGTTATTTCTTTTACTTAATTTTGGGATGGAAATATAAAGTCTTGCCCTTAGCTAATCAAAATGTTTTGGGACATTTTGATTATCTAAGGGCAAGACTATATTTTCATCAAAATTAAGGTAAAATTTGGTTTACTGGAAATCCACCTGATAATAAGTCAACATACAGAACATATCATCAGATTGAGAGAATATTTGTTTAGTTTGCATGCAGTTTATTTTCTCTAATTGAAGTTTGATGTTAAAAATTGACTAATGTATTTATGGAAAAATGATGATACAAAAAAATATTAAATTTTATTATTATTAAAGCATGTCAAATGTCAAATTTTTTCTCATCAATGAAAGTGTAAATGAGCACAAGTGACCAAAACTATTGTGGCATTATTCATTACTGTAACTAGATCAATGAAAGAATTGACAAAATTAGATGAAGCTTGGGTGGCAAAGGCGAGCTATCTTTTTATTTGTATTGGATTGTGGAAGCATTGTTTTTTTATATAGGAATTGATTTTTGTCATGATTAAATATTCAAAATCCATTTTATTTTTTTAATATGTTTAACTAAGTAAAAATTCTTTGTTCATTGCAATTGTTGGTTAATAAATTTTTGGATTTGTTTTTAATTCATTTTGTTAATTTTTTTTTTTAATTCCTATCAGATCATGTTCTAAATTTTGAAGTTTGATTTTCTGTAAACTTGCAATATGGCATCATGTATTAAATTACTTTGAACATAGAGAAAAAATTTTATTTATTATTCTTAGCATGGTAGAATTAATAATAGTAGATTAAAGTATCTATAAACAATCAATGTTAATTTCAGAAAACAAACTAAAATTTATACTTATTTATTTTATTCTTTAATAATAGAAGTTTCATTTTATTTTAGAGGAGCTTATTATTCTATCAAAGTAAAACCTGATTTTCGTATTGTTTCCATTAATATGAATTACTGTAACACCCAGAACTGGTAAGTAGTTTTGTCAGTTTTTAATAACTTAAGCATTAATGGTTTATTCTGCTTAATATTTATTCAAAAATCTATAGAATATTTTGAGATAGTGAATAGATTGTTTGAAATATTCTATTGTTCTATAGATTTGAAATATAAACAGTTGTTTATAAAATTATATGGAGTCTTCCGAAAAGAATGTTACCATTTAAATTACTGTAATTATATTAATTATTATCCAAGAAGTATTCAGTGTACACTAATTATAGTTTCTGCTGCTGTCTGAGTTTCATCTCTCATCTGCCTTCAAACGTCTTGTTGTCTACTACATCTAGGAAGTGCCATTAACAAAAATGGAGACTCCACAACAGAGAAGTTTTCAAAGTAGGAATCACTCATCAATGTGCTACATGATTGAGCTGTAGGGGCCATAGAATTGTGGCTGCTATGGGAGAAGCGACAACAGATATACTGTAGCGAGTGTAGGAAGTAGCAGTTTGATGTAGGCCATGTGACATAATGTGAACTCATTAAGAAATTGTAGAAGGCAAATGTGAAACTTGGACAGTTTTCCAATGTTTTAATGTACATTATAACATTCTCAGATGATAATTAACATAATTGCAATAATTTAAAATGCTAACATTCTTTTTGATGACACTGTATTAAAAATTAACTTTAATACTAGCTAGAATAGTCTAGTAATACACAATCTGCTAATTTTTGTTTGTAATTTATTTGTTTGAAAATGTGTAATAAATTGACAATATTTTACTTCTTATTTAAATTCTAAAATTGATTTTAATCTTTGTTGTAACATCTAGAATATATATAATTTTAATAAAAATTTTGATGTGAATTACAACTATGGTGTGCTTGGCAGGTAGAATGTAATGTTATATAACTCTGTAGCAAATGATTGTAGAAAGATTATTTAGGTGTCATTAGAAAGAGAATTGAAAAATGAAGAACCACATATTTTTGATTTTTCAAAAAGTGAATAGTTTTAGAGATATTGCAATTTAAAGTTTATATACATTCTATGCTCTACTGTTTTCTGCAACAGCAAGCAATGAGTCATTAGTTTGAGTATCACAATGATCATTTAAGACAATAAGATAAAAACTGCTAAATTTTTTATGCACTTACTTACAGTATGAAAGTATAGATAACTACATAAACACACAAACATCAACCTGATTCTATTATATATATATGCCATATGAACTGTCAAATTATTAATCAAGCAGCAATAAGACTAATGTAATGATTAGAAATAAAGTAATTTAGCTATACATAGGTGATAATACTTCCATCTAATGAGAAATTTAATAAATAAAAATAAATTTTAATTTAAATATAGAATAATATACAGTTGACCCCCCCCTATAAGATCATAGATACGTTCCATTCTTTAGGAATCCGATTTCTTACGAGTCCTTCCAATCACAGCCCGACACGTGTCAAGTTTACGGACTACGGCTGATTGAAAGGTTTTCTTCCATAAAATTAATCGATTCTAGACTAATCCGACTCAACATTTCCAAAATACGTATATTTTTTTTGGAAATAATCCGTATAAACTACGCTATAAACAAAAAATTGTAGGATTACTTACCGAGTGTGCACCATTTGACATCGCCATTGCTAAAGCTTGTTTTCGTCGCGGAACAGCTCAGCAAATAGCGGCCGATTTCTAACAACTTATTTTTCTGCGAAAACTTCGTTGAACTTTGGAGACATCATTAATATAAATAATTTTAATCGCCGTTGAATAAGAAATGTTTCTTTCACAAGAAATGTATAAAATTACAGTACTGTATTAGACTTACGGTACCTAATTTACATACTGTACAGACGATAGTTAGCGTAAAATCTCCGTAGCGTGGCGCCACGCTAGACGGCGGAAATTATATATTTAATTATAACAAAGTTACAATAAGTTAATATATAATTATATATACAGTACCTAATTTATATATAATTAATATATAATTATATGTACAGTACCTAATTTATATATAATTTATATAATACTGTCCAGACGATAGAAATCTCTCCGTAGCGTGGCGCTACGGACGGCGGGAAAGTAGTTCGGCTGCCCGATGACGTTTTACGTAATTATAGGAGTTTTTTTTACCTTTTTTTTACGGATACCGTCACAATTTTTTCGCAGTTTTATAGGAATCGTAATTATAGGGACTGTAATTATAGGGGGGTCGACTGTATAAGAAAAGGATTGGCCCAGAGTGGGTCTCAAACCCACACACCCTGCAGATGCATTGTTAATAATGCTACCTGGACACCATCCAATCTTTTCTTCCAGAAGTATTAATTACTTAACTAATTCAGATATAACTGTACTGGTTATATATGGTAGATAAATGGAGATAGGCTATTGGCCAAAAGGTACTGTATTTCTAATTGTTAAATTAACCTTCTTACAGCCAATAAATAATCTGTTTTTTGGCATATCAAATAGAGCCAGGTTGATATTTGTTATGTATAGTGTTGGAAAAAATTCTTAGAAAGTATTATAAATCAAAAGTCAAACATTTCTAAACAATTTCTAATCAAAACTCACAGGTTTTTGATTTATAATGTTTTTTTAAACAAAATTACTACCATAAATTTTGTGTGTGTGTGTGTGTGTGTGTGTGTGTACATATACATATACAAAGGCAATTTTTTTTCAACCTCCAACGGTTATTAAATAAAGACAAGTGTAAATAACAAAATGAATTTATTACCAAAAGTTAGATACAAACATGGTTACTTTTTGACATAATAACTGTGAAGATTGAGACATTTGTCTATCTGTGAATGAGCTTTGAAATTCCCTCTTCAAAGAATTTTGTTGCCAGTGACTTGAGATGGGCCTTAATGTTTTGAAAATTGCCATTAGTCAAAAACCTCTGCCCTCCTAGCCACGTTTTTAGTTCAGGAAAGAGGTGGAAGTTGCTCAGTGCTAAATTGGGGCTGTATACTGGGTGTTTAAAAAGTTCCAAGCTAGGTGGAACTTTGAAAGGTGACAGTCTTCACACCTTTAATGTGTGAAGACTTCCACTTCTTTTCTGAATTGGAAACTTGGCTAGCAGGGCAGAGGTTTGAGACTAATGACAATTTTCAAAACAACGTTAAGGCCCATCTCAAGTTACTGGCAGCAACATTCTCTGAAGAGGGGATTGCAAAGCTCATCCACAGATAGACAAATGCCTCTAACTTCATGGTAATTATGTCGAAAAGTAACCATGTTTGTACCTAACTTTTGATAATAAATTCATTTTGTTATTTACATTTGTCTTTGTTTTATGGGCCATCAGAGGTTGAAAAAAAAACAGCCTATGTACTTATTCTTTTTCTTTTTATTAACTTTTGAAAAATTAATAGTTCTTAAAGAAAGATTATCGTAATGAAATGATGTATTTTTTCCAAAGTGATAACATTTAACCAGAAGAAATTTGTGTAAAACTGAGTAATCTAACATTTAATAATCATATGACACTCTTATATCAAATATTCATTTATTTACACAAATAAACAAAACAGTCTGAGCTGTACTGTAAAAATATGCAAAATTTCACCAAGAAATTGACATAAGAAATCCAATGAAATTTAGTTTATATACAAGGCATGTCCAGAAAGTAAGTACCGTTTTGGAAAATCTCTCATAAAAAATATTTTTTCAAAACAAAATTTATTTTTACATGAAAGAGCATGTCTAAAACTATTTTCTACATAGTTAACACCATTGTTCAGACATTTGTCATATCGGGAAACCAACTTGTCTATACCCTCTTCAAAGAAAGATGCTGCCAGTGAAGACAGCCACTGCTGAACATCGGTTGTTGCAACAATCTCATGCAAAACAGTATTTGAAATTTGTGGAAACTCATCACAAAGCAATCTTATTGTGAACCGTCTTTTTTCAGGAATTTTTTCATTCACTTTTGCAACCAAACCATCATTGACAACAGAAGGCCAGCCACTCCATGCTTTGACATGAACATCAGTGCTTTCAGCATTGAATTGTTGAACCCACTTTCTAACCATTCCATCACTCATTACATTTTCACCATAAATCTCTACAAGTTGACGATGAATTTCAACTGGTTTAACATTCTTTGTGTTAAAAAACAGTATTACAGAATGCACTTCACAGTTGGCGGGATCAGCAATAGTCTTAAACATTTTGAACACTCACTAACATGTGGAAAAACAACACAATCAGGCTGTAATGGCATCACTGGACTGACAATCAACCAGAGAGATGTGTGTTCAGGCACTGAACTGTGATACTACCACTGCAATGGCGGTAGAACAAAGCGGTACTTACTTTCCGGACACACCTCATACATTTGTCTTTAAGGAAACATTTTTATTTTGTGTATATGCAAACTGTACAGGGTGATTTATTTATTTATTTATTTTTTAATGCAAAAAATTTCAGAGGCTGATATTTCCAATAGTTTCAATCATCATCATCTGCATTGATAGGTGCCCTGCACATACATTAAACATCCTGTAACTTTACAACTATTCTGTTTTGAACATATGTTTATATGAACTTTTTTGTTTGAAATTATTGGAGGAATCAGCCCTTGAAATTTTTCACATAAAAAGCAAATAGCCCTGTATACAGTAAAACCTCACTTTGTGGCCACTTCTGAAATTCCCCTATAAAACTGAATAAGCACAATCAACTAAACCTTTAACTTCCAGTAACAAAAACTTTAATGTCAAATAGATGAACATTTTTGGTTTAACCAAGATCTGCATCTGGTCACCAATGATATTCCAAATTGGAATGCCAATTTGGAATATCATTTTGGAATGCCAATTTGGTTACCTGTTGCTTAATTCCAGTCATTGAGATGTATTTTTTTGAAAACTGCATAAGTTTTAATATAACTCAAATTCATCTTGGTGCCAATGGCCAAGATAGGAGTGTTCTATTTATCATCATTTACATAGCATATAGAGTAAGAAAACCCAATGTTTCTAACTCAATATATTTT